CTTTCTTTCTTTCTTTCTTTCTTTCTTTCTTTCTTTCTTTCTTTCTTTCTACCACACAGTCCCTGGGATTGAACTCAGGTCACCAGCCTTGGTGGCAGGCACCTTTACTCACTGAGTCCTCTCACTGGCCCTTTTGTTGTTCTGAGACAGGTTTTCATTCTGTAGCTCAAACTCTCAGAGACTGTCCCACCTCAGTCTCCCATGCCCTGAGATCCTGTGTGACTCAGGACACGGAGCTGCTGCCGCTGCTGCTAATTTTTAACAAAGGGCCACAATCAAAATGCAAGGAAGAACCCAAGAGCTTGGACATTCATTCTCTTACACTGGAGGAGTTGTCTTTCTGAAGACATTGGTGTTGCTGGGCGATGGTGGTGCACACCTTTAATCCTAGCACTCAGGAAGCAGAGGCAGGCAGACCTCTGAGTTTGAAGCCAGCCTGGTCAACAGAGTGAGTTCCAGGACAGTTCTACACAGAGAAACCCCGTCTCAGAAAAGCAAAAACAAAAACAAAAAGACACCAGTGTCTACACTAGGCAGCTCTGTTCTCTAGACACTTGTCATGAGGTCACAGTGACCTTTTTCAATTTTTCATAGCAAAAACAAAGAGGGAAACTATTTTACTTTCTTTTTTTATTTTACCTTAAAATGAACTTTACTTCATCATATTCAGACATGGTTTTAGCATGTAAACATGATTAGAGAGGTATTTTCTATATTTTTCTGCCCAATTCTTAGAACTCTATGTGCGTTGTACACTTGATTTGGTCTAGCTACATTAAAAATTTATTTTTACTTCACGTGTATGGATGTTGTACCTGCACGTGTGTTTGGTGCCCATGGAGGCCAGTAGAGGGCACTGGATACCCCGGAACTGGAATTATGGGCAGTAGTGAGGCATCATGCGGGTGGTAGGCATCAGACCTGGCAGAGCAGTTAGCACTTTTACAACGATCAAGCGTCTCTCCAGCTCTTGGTCTAGTCTCATTCCAAGTACTCAGTAGTCACAGGCACTAGCAGAAACAATGCCAGCCAAGGCAGTTATAGAAGGGAAGACTTGGGCTGGGTGGTGGTGGTGGTGGTGGTGGTGCATGCCTTTAATCCCAGCGCTTGGAAGACAGAGCCAGGAGGATCTTTGTGACTTTGAGGCCAGTCTGGTCTACAGAGTGAGTTCCAGGACAGGCACCAAAACTACACAGAGAAACCCTGTCTCAAAAACAACAACAACAACAACAAAGGGAAGACTTGGGTATTTGTTTTCTTTTTCTTTAGGAGCTTCTGTGTGACTCAGTGACCAGGACAATATAGTGAGTCCAGGAAGAGAGAGAAGATAAAGGAGGCCGGAGCATGTGTGATTAGCTGGCTTAATGGGGTGAAGCCAGCAAAGGCATGAAAAGGTCTTGTCAGAGAATATGTATTTGGCAAGTAAATATGGGCATGCGTTTAACTTTCTCTGCTGTAGCAGGATTCATCAAAGTTCTTATTAATAAAATCAAACCCGAGGCGAGTTATTGGGGTCCATGCTGGTAGATCAGAGAGACAGAACAAGCCACAGCTATCTCACCTCGCCGGATCCTCAGCTGGTCTTGTCTCCTCAGACTGGAGGCCTCTGAGTCCTCATCCAGAATGAATCTCAGCTGAACTGTGTTGCTCCATAGCCTGAAAGCTTAACCAGCCAAAATGCTTCTAGTTTCTGGTCCTCACGCCTTATATATCTTTCTGCTTTCTACCACCACTCCCTGGGATTAAAGGCTGGCTTTCTGGGATTAAAGGCATGTGTCACCATGCTTGGCTATTTCCAATGTGGCCTTGAACTCACAGAGATCCAGAGGGATTTCTATCTCTGGAATGCTAGGATTAAAGGTGTGAGTGCCACCATTTTCTAGCCTTTGTATCTAGTGGCTGTCCGTTCTCTGACCCCAGATAAATTTATTAGAGTACACAATATTTTGGGAAACACAATACCACCACATCTCCTCTCTTTTTGTCTAAAATTAAAGAAAGCTTGTAACTAATACAAGAAAAACTATCCAATAAGTATATACAATATATACAGCCAAAATTACATTAATGATTTCTAGTCCATTAACATTTGACAGATTTAGATAAAAAACTCTATTATATATATTAACAATGTCCAGTCCAGTAACATCTGATAAACTCAGACCAAAAAATTTTCATTACTTATCTTATTTAAAACAAGTAGTTCCTTTTTAAAAGTAGATTCCATAATCTCCCTTTTTATCTTATCATATCCATATTCTTTTTTCTTTCATAATACTGTGCTGTGGGATGTTCTGTATGGCAAATTGCTCTGATTGGTCAATAAATAAAACACTGATTGGCTAGTGGCCAGGCAGGAAGTAGGTAGGACAAGGAGAGAGGAGAATTCTGGGAAGCGGAAGGCTGAGGCAGAGAGACACTGCCAGCTGCCGCCATGACCAGCAGCCTGTGAAGACGCCGGTAAGCCACCAGCCACGTGGCAAGGTATAGATTTATAGAAATGGATTAATTTAAGCTATAAGAACAGTTAGCAAGAAGCCTGCCACGGCCATACAGTTTGTAAGCAATATAAGTCTCTATGTTTACTTGGTTGGGTCTGAGCGGCTGTGGGACTGGCGGGTGACAAAGATTTGTCCTGACTGTGGGCAAGGCAGGAAAACTCGAGCTACACTCTGCTGTCAAAGAAATGAGTAAACTTAATACTGAAGTTTTATTTTATGTAATTGCATTACCGAACATGTAAGCAAGGTTAGTTCACCCTTGAACGGGGATAGTTGCCATGAGAGGCCTGCAGCGCCTTTTGGAAAGTCTTTTGAAGAAGATCTCTCAAGCACTGTAGAAGCCTTAATGGTCTGTTTTCTGTAGTTGTACTACTAGACATTGATGTTTTAAAAATCAACTAAAATTAAGGGGAAAGGATACTACTACTAACATGGAATTCACTTAAATGAACAATGAAAGGATTGTATCCATTTAGAAGAATTTTCCAAAGGAATTGTATCAACACAAGAAATGCTATTGTTTCAAAGATAAGGGAAAAGGAGTTGGATATAGCGTATCTTTTTTTTTTTTTTCTTTCTTTTGGTTGCAATTCCATAAACATCCTAAGAAAAACAGTGCCAACCCAGAATGACATTTTTTCAATGTGGCAGTATCCTGGTCTTAAATTTTTTCCATTTTAATGTTTGTTTTTGTGCAGTGCCCACCCACAAAGATTCTGATATTTTAGTTGATTCTTTGTAAACATCAGATTTCTTTTGTATAAGATGGAGGTAGTCATGGGATGCGGGTTTGTTCATTTTGCTGTGATTAAATACCTAGCAGGGTTTATTTTGGTCCGTGGTTTAGAAAGAGTACAGCCCATCATGGTGAGGTAAGCAAGATGGCAGGATCTACTGCTGCCTGTGGTGGTGGGTACAAAAGGCAGCTTGCTCACAGCTCAGCAGGTCGGGAAGCAGGGAGCTGGACCTGAAGCCAGCTACCTGTAACCCCGAGGCCCACCCAGCTCCTGTAGGTCTCTGTCTGGTGGCTAGGCCCCGCCTACAAAAGGTTCCACAACCTCCCAGAACAGCGCCACCATCTGGAGACTAAATGTTCAAACGCACAAGCCAGTGAGGGCATCTCATGTTCAGCCAGAACAGGTTGTGAGGATTGAATGGCCTGTCACGTGTAAGAAATCCAGCATGAGGCCCGGCACAAGAAGGCCTGATAGACCTAAGTTATTAATATTGTGAAAGTGCCTGACACTATAACAATAATGTTCACAGAATGTTCATTGTCATCCAGTCTCTAAACCCTTTTCTGTTGTGTTTATTCTAACATCTCTCAATGTTTGGTGATAAATTCCTGAACTCACAGACATGAAAAATAACTTGGGTTGGCTACAGTTGGACCTCTTCATGTAACAAGAAAGCGTGCTGAGATAATAAGAAGGGAGCGTCCAGCCCAAGGTCACACAGCAAGTCAATTTTCCTCTCTGAGAACCAGCAATAAAACCTCTGTCTTAGGAATCAGTGAGAGAGCTGAGTGGGTAAAAGAGCTTTTGTTAGGATTCTGGACATGTGCAGCTTGGGGTCTTGTCGGGCGCCTTATGACCTCATCAACAGGCGACTGCGTCCCAGCCTTAAAGCCGGATGCACACCCCCATGCTCTCTCTGTGCCTTTCTTCCTTTGTTTCCTCTCCACCAGGCCTGGCTCCCCCCCCCACTCCCTCCATTAAAGCTCTAAAAACTAATATTGGGTTCTGCCGTGACCATGGCTCTTCCACCGACCAACCAGTGACGTTTATCCTTTCAGCTTTCAGTGCTTCCAAGCCTTGGTCTCAGGACCCACATGGTGGACAGAGAGAACCTACTCTTGCAATGTCATGTGCACCCATCCACAGAAATAAATAAATAAAATGTTATCAATATATATATATATTGATAACCCTATTCTGCTCTCCTTGCAGCCTTCCTGTCAGGATCAAGTGAGATGGCATGTCTTGCCAAGCAAAAAAGTCTGCAGTAACATGACTCAGCATTACCTATACAAATGGAATTTCTAGATAGATTCTTCCTGAGAGGTGTTGCTCTCCGGCTCCACTCAGCAGACATACCAGGGCTCCTGACAGACAGCTTGCTTGAATTTGAGTGTGGCCAGTGACTATGTAGAGAGCCCATGTTAGCCCCATGTCCCTAATTCCATAAAATGCCCATGCACACAAAGTCCCGAAGGGGAACGAGCATCTTTGGATGCAGGCAGCTTAGGAGTTGCATGAGGACTAAGCACCGATCCCCTGTCTAATGATGTGCCAACTCCGTTTTCTCTTCTGTGACTTGGAGTAATCATAAGGCCTCGGGCTATAGTTGTGGAGTGTCAGGGAGGCAGCTCGTGGGAGATACTCAGGAGCACTTCTTGTCCCGAGCTGCTTCCAGTATTTGATGTAGCTTTTCTCCATTGGCATCCTCCAGTGTGCCTGGCTCTGGGCCCAGTCTTTGTCATGTTAACTCTTGAAATCCCCTCCATCAAGAGATGGAGACGTGTAAAAGAAAATCGTGGGGCACTGGCCAGAGCTGTGGGAAAGCCTGTGTGTTCCAGATGGGCTCAGGTGTGGCTGCCCACATTTCTGTCCCCTTACTCACTTCCTTCTGTGGTCAACAGACTGGGCAGGCAGAGGCTTGCAGACCCCAGGTCTTCAATTTTTTCCATTCCAGTCTCCCCATGAAACCTGCTCAGGCATTGCCCCCAAGGTAAAACAGGAGCCTAACTGCTTTCTGGGTAGTGGGAGGATTTCATATCACAGGCATCCTGGATACTCTCTTCATTTCTGCTTATGATAGAAGTGTACAAATCCAAATACTCTAGCTTAAAAATAAAGACAAGCTATACCTCCTAGATTGTCAAAAATAATATCATTATAGTCTTTCATACATAGAAAAGAGAAAAATGTTACTGTAGTCTACATCCTCACAAATCTTGATTTATTTCTATGCAATATATGGCAAGCAGCTTTCTTGTGTCAACTATTGATTTTTCCATATCATTTAACGCCGGAGGTGCATTCTTCTATGTGGCGATGGGATGTTGCTGGACAGGGAGAGGAATGCTGAGCTTTTATCACTGTGAAATAGAGCTTCTGTGGACACCTTGTTAGTCCAGTCTTCATGCAGGCACTCCACATAATAGCTTCAGTTTTCTTTCCTGTTTCAAGCCGGCAAGAAGAGGACTGCACAATAAAAAACTTTAAATAAGTAACTCAAGGAGAAAAAAAAGTGGGTGTATGGAGATTATAGTGGCAGAGTCCTCTTATGCTTTCTGTGTGTGCACATGTGTGTGGGTGCAGGTGCACGAAGAAGGCCTGGCTACCTGGCCAGTGAGCCCCAGAGACCCACCTGTCTCCACTTCAGTGCCAGGGTTACGTGTGTGGACCACCAGCTTCTTGTACTTGGCTTCTGGGGATTGAACTCATGCTTGGAAGGCAAGTACTTTACTGAATGAGCCATCCCTTGGGCTCATGGGTTCTCTTAGTCGTTTTGCCTTGCCAAGCCATGGCAATCCACAGAGAGGACATGTTATTAGATGTCCTTCAAAAACAAGCATCCCATTATATAAATCCCACCCTCCAAAACCCACTCTTTCAAACATCTGACAGGTGGTGTCAATTTACCTGCCATGAAGTTCCTGCCTTTCTTTTTCTTTTCTTTTCTTTTTTTTTTTTTTTAACACTTGACCTGGTCCTCATGCAGAGATGCTACTGTGAAACTTTGTGCCATCTGCTGTGGGATTTCTGCTCATCCGACCTTTTAAGCACTATCTGATGTCAGGCAGAAGTTCCTACTGAGGTACCGAGAGCTCTCTGCATTGTGTATGCCTTGGGAGCAAAACTGATTCCCAATCCTGTTTATTTGGCCTTGGACCCTGTCCCCACCCTCCCAGACAGATAGGTATGGAGAGATTTAGGGACACTTGTGGCTTCTTGAAGAATGGGACAAACCATCCTTGGTCTTGGCACAGCTTCACAATTCTTTGTCATGAAGTCACGTTTGGAAGAGAA